TAGATTACACGACGAATTGCATTTCAGACATTTGTCCAATTCCTAGTAATTGCATTAGTAAGTCAATTACAATTGTTGCTGCTGCTTTTTTTATTAACTCAAGCTGCCTGAGAGCTCTTGAAAATATTTGCCTTCTGCTGGAAAATCACCTTTTTCAGCAGATGTTTAGCTTTCTGTTTGATAGTTAATATACTAAGAGGAACTATGAGATATGTTTCGAATATAAGTATGCGGCTATAATTGAAGTACTTTATATAATTAGCTAATGCAGCTGGAAATTCCATGTAGAAGAAAGAGTTTAATAGTAGTAAACAAATTTTCTAGAGGAAATATTAGTTATATACTCTAAATATTAAACATTTTTTTAAACATTTTCTGTATAGAAATATTTTCACTCTATGATCACACATTCCAAGTCTAATAAATTGAATTTGTGGAAACACATCCATAGAAACTTTAACAAATAAAAGCTTTTTGAACAAAATAATTTACAAAAAAAAAATATTATTAATTGACAAATTTAAAAACGATTTCTCTTCGTTAAAAAATCATAAAAAAGTTTAGAAAATAAAAATTAAAAACAGTTTTAAATAATAAAAATAATTGTTGATATATTAAAAATCCTAAACCAAGAAAACAATAAGCTTTATAGAAACTTTTTTTCTATTAAAAAAATATAAAAAAAATTTATTCGCAAAAATTATTAATCAGCATTCAATAAAAAAAAAAATGGAAACATTTAAATCCATTTTTGTTAATGAATAAACACACTTAAGAAATATAAATATATTTCATATACAGTAAAATGTATAAAAAATTACAAAATTAAATAATATTATTGAAAAAGTGTATTTACACTTTCGAAAAAAGGACAAAAGTTTATTGAAAAAAAATCAACAGATATATTCAAAAAAATATTAGTTATGATTATGTTTTTTTTTTTATGGAAATAGAAACATTTTTTTTTTTATATTATTAAAAACTTTTTAAGAATATAAATTTTAATTTTAACCTTAATACTTAGGTACGTCCCTCATTGATAGGATATGTCCCTTAATTGAAATTGAATTGAATATATTTGACCCATTTCGTTCCAAACATTTATCTAATAATGATTTATAAATTAAATTAAATTAAATTTATTTGTCTATTTTTTGTATATTCTCACTTTGTTGACCTTCTTCAACCAGGTAACCATTGGCCGTCGCATTGGCCTCTACAGATTCTGTGGCGACATCGGACGCGGCAACTTCTCCAAAGTCAAACTGGCCGTGCATCAGCTGACACGAGGTAAGCTCATACGGACTATATATGCTTGCTGATTCCTGTCTATATCTAACGAGTATTCTGAACGTGCAGACAAGGTGGCCATCAAGGTAGTTGACTTGGATCGCGCTGGCCTCGATGCCAAGGCTCTGCGTATGCTATCGAGCGAGATAGCGACGCTCGAGTGTGTTCATCATCCCAACATATTGAGGTGAGTGTTGCAACTGCTTGCTGCATGCAGCAGATCTTAAATAGTTCCTTTCCTTGCCAGGCTCTTTGAGGTGGTTGAGACGCTGGGGCGCGTGTATCTGGTCACGGAGTGGATTCGCGGCGGGGAGTTATATAATCACATCACCCAAGGTGGGCCACTGCGCGAGATACACGCTGCGCCGCTCTTCAAGCAGCTGCTGCTCGCCGTCAAGCATATGGTAAGCTGTACCTAAGCTCCTCACATCTGTTCCCCTTAAGCAAGGCATATTCTTTCTTTATGCTCCACTGCAGCATAGCTTGGGCTATGTGCATCGTGACATTAAGGCGGAGAATGTGCTGCTGCTCTCGGAGGATCGCCTCAAGCTAGCGGACTTTGGTTTCAGCACACAGCTCATCAATGGTAAGTGCTCATCCCAGCTCGGTTTCTATAGACTGAAGGATTTATATTTGTGCGCGTCTCTCGATTAGGTGCCAATCAGAAGCTGGACACATTTTGTGGCTCTCCGCCGTATGCGGCACCGGAGCTCTTCTCCGATGACCATTACATAGGCGCTCCCGTCGATGTCTGGGCTCTGGGTATTTTGCTCTATTTTATGGTCGTCGGCAATATGCCATTTCGTGCACCCACCATACCGGGCCTCAAGGCAGCCATACTCAAGGGCGACTATCTGCTGCCTGGCCAGCTAAGCTTGCCCTGCATAAGACTAATTCGTAAGTATTTATCAGGGTATAATGTGGTCATAGGGTCATATGGTTATGTGGTTATATGGTCAGATTTTCACATGGTATATGCTCCTATGAACCTTTAGTTCAGTGACTGGTTTAAGGTACTATGATCCTTTTATTCTATGGTCATATGGTCATAGGGTCATATGGTCATATGGACCTATGGTGTATGGTCCTATAGACTTTTGATCCTATGACTTAATGGTCCAATGGCTCTGAGGTCCTATGATTCTATCATTCTGTAATCATATGGTCATATGTGGTCATATGGTTATATGATCATATGGTCATATGTGGTCATATGGTTATATGATCATATGGTCATAGATGGTCATATATGGTCATATGGTTCTATGATCATATGGTCATGGTTATATGATCATATGGTCATGGTTATATGATCATATGGTCATATGGTAATATGAACATACGGTCACATGGCCATATACGGTCATATGGTCCTATAGACCTTTGGTCCCATGGCTCTGTGGCCCAGTCGTCTTTAGATCACATGTTTCTATGAACCTATGGTCGGTCATATGATCATATGATTATAGGGTCATATGGTCATATAGTTCTATAGACCTTTGGTCCTGTGGCTTAATGGTCTAAGGTCTTGTACTCCTATGATCCTATGGTCATGTGGTATATGCTTCACTGCTCCAGACAAGATAATAATAATAATTCTTCCGCTTTTTAACTCCCGTTTGTTAGAACGAATCTTAATCCATGTGCCCGCCCAGCGGCCCACCATAGACGACATACTGAACAGTCAGTTTGTCACCTGCCCCAAGCTGAGCGCTGAGCTGATGCAGCTCGAGTTGAATTTGCATAGCAAACCGGCCAAGCGCTCCATATTCTGGGTGCGCAAGTCACATCGGCTGCGGAAGAGCGCCTCGTTGCGGGAGCGCTATGCGGAGGTGGTCAAAAAGCCAGCGATTAGCATGAATACACGCCAGCAGGACGAGCTGTTTGTGCACAGCTTTCTGCATCCCATCGAGCTGAGTCACGAGCAGCCCGCAGTCGGCGTCAATACCAAAGAGCTCGAGGCCAATGGTGAGCCGGCCAAGCGCAATGGACCCGGTCGACGCTATCTCTTCTGCGGCACGCTGAAGAAGAAGATAACGCCCATCGAAACGGAGCCGGAGAAACAGCTCTCAAATGGCGGGCCGACGGCCAAGCTCAGTCAGTGGAGCATCGAGGTGGCCGACGATTGTCCGCTCTTCAAGAACTACGATGCCGAGACGGGCAGCTGTGTGATGCTGCCCACCAACACGGACGATCTCAGCCAGCTGTGCGCCCTGGAGTTCGAGGCCCGGCAGCTGCTCGCCGAGCTGGGCGTCAGCTCGCAAATGCTAATAGCAGCCACGCCCAGCGGCCCGCGATCCGATATCATTGGAGCCTATCGCATCATAGTCAATCGACTGCAGAAGCAATCGTGGCTGGCGCGAAAGCATGTGGAGATGGCGCTGCAAATGGAGCCGAAACCGGAGAAGCGCATCGAACGCCAATGCTGCATCTTGTAGGCAGCTTAAATGTTTAACAATTAATTCTAATAACTAACAATTACTGATTAATATTTAATGATTAGTGTCAATTTGAGGCAGGGCAGCCAAGCAGAAGTCACGTGTGTTTCTTGTTATTAGTGAAGAGCGAAAGAGCTGAAGAGCTGCAGAGCTGAAGAGTTCCTTATTTTCGTCTAGGTTCTGAGTTGTGTAAAATGTTAATTAATTGTATTGAAGCATATTGCGAAATATGATATGTAAACAATGCACATTAGACTGGTAACGACCCTAAAAAGTGTTGGGTGCAAAAACTTAAGAATTAAACTTTAAGAAAAAAATTCTACATAATATTGACTCTTAGTCTATTCGAAAAAAATAAAATAAAATAAAAAACATAGAATTGTCGTTAAGAAATTTTTCAAAAATAGAAAAAATATTCAATAGATCAATAAATAAAATGAAAAAAAAATGCAAGCTAAAATCTTGCTTGAGTCTTGGCTTAAAAAATCGACACAAATTTGCGCGATAAATTATAAGAGATTTACGAATTCATATGTCAACAATAATATTTAACTATTTAAATAAATGTTTCATAATTCTCACATGGGGTCCCAATTTTGATACGATCTGAAAATGTTAGCCAAAAAATAAAACCAGTTTAATGTGCGTTAAAATCTAGTGAAATTTACATACATACATACAATATAGTCCAAGTATTATGTATTTAGTTGTTGGTCCATTTTTTGAGCATATATATACGAATTATACGAATACAACATATACATTAACATACATACATACATACATATATATATATATGTCCAGTAAGGAAAGCACAGTTCAGACTACTCTTTAAATTCCATATAAAAATGGTGTTTTAATCAATTAATAAGGTAGTTTGTATTCATCAGCGTTATAGAAAGCATAAACATGGCGTTTGTTTGTGTGTGTGTGTTGTAAGTGTATGTGTGTGTGTGTATTAAGTTGTCTCCCGTGGAGTCAATGAAACGTACAATAAAGCAGCATATGAAATATATATATATATATATATATATATGTGTGCAATATATATATAAATATATATATTCACTTATATATGTGTGTTCAATCGTAAACAAACTAAAAAATTTAAAACTAGATTTCTTATAGTTTATAGCCATTCAGTCAGCCACAGCATCCGCTTGAGCTGCACAGCTGAGCAGCTGCTCCAATTTCGTACAGGTTTACCTATATATTTATATGTGTGTATAAATACATATACATATATATATATAGAGCACAGCGCAGTCGCCGCTCTCTCTCTCTCTCGCTTTCTCTCAGTCGCCGCCTCGCTCTCGGGTTTTGCTGTCGACGTCGCTGCTGTTGCCTGCCAATTGGAGCGCATTGATAAGACACGGAAATTGAGTGAGCTTTAGCTTTAGCACTCACCCACTAAGGCGAAAGGCTCCGAGTCGCTGCTGGCGGGCCAATCAATGTCCGGCATGGCCGGCCATTCAATATCATCCGCCGTATCCCAGTCGACGGCACGCGACTGACTTATCTCGAATAGCGCCGGCGTGGACAGCCTGAGCACGTCCTGCCGCAGCTGCTGTTGCAGCTGCTCAAAGCTGTCATGCGTCTTGCACAGAAAACAAACGGCCAGCGAGGGATCCATTGCGCCAAAGTTCAAGCGTGCCGCATACTTTTGATGATAGCTCTCGTCCAGCTCTTTCTCGGCCGTTGTGGTCTTTTGGGCCACTGCGCCAGCTCGCTGCGTTGTATGCGGATCCAAATATAGCACCTCATCGTCCACGTAGCCCAGAAAGTAGAGCGCCTGATTGGGCCGGCCGCCAATCATGCCGCAGCTGCTGCTCAGCTCCAAGCAGCGCTTCAGGGCGGGTATATAAATGGGATTAATTTCGGTAATGCCCAGACGCAGCGGCACAATCAGTAGCAATGGCTTCCAGGTGGCTTCGTTGGAATTCTGGCAACAGGTGTCTATAAAGAAACGTCACTTCAGTAAAGCCTCCCCATGCCTTTAGGTCTCTACTTACATATATCATCCAGCACCACGGTGCTATCCATGGCTACGTGCACGACCAGCGAGCTCCAGTCGTCAAAGCGCACGAGGATTCTGTGAAGAAGCAGAGGCAGAAGCATTAAGGAATTAGCTGTCAGTCAGTCCCGCAGTCTTGCGTATATGCTCAATGTCTTGGCTTATCAATCACTCACTTGAGTATTTGGGCAACTGTGTTGGGTCCGAGCCACTCGCCCACAGCTTTGTTTTGCGACTCGCCCATTAAGGCAATTTGATGTATTGAATAATAACTTTTGCGCGTATCCTCGAATCGATTGACGATTTTCAGGTAGGTGGCATCCCGGCAGTCGGGCGTCCAGAACCAATCGCGACCCAGATGCAGTTCGATTAAGGCTTGGGCCAGCACCATTTGGCCGCAGCGCAACATGCAGCCCCAGCCCTTGTCGCTGGTCAGTTGCACCTCGCCCAGGGGCACAAATCCATGACGATACGTGCACCACAGGCGAGATTGGATATCACGTCTAATGGGCTCCAGTTCTAGAGATGGGGAAAAGGCAGATTTATAGTATCATATATAGCTGTACAGCAGTCGTGGCTGCTGGTGGAAGCGTGTCTTCGCTCATATTGCATATGCGTCTCACCTTGTATGGCGTTGTAGCGCTTGCCCAGTAGCCAAACATCTGTATTGCGTTTTGGTATATCATCCAACTCGCCAACTGCGCCGCCCACGGCGCCAGCCAAGACGCTATCCGGGCCGAGGTAAGCTTCGAATACGCTGTCCATGCCGCGAATTAACTGTGCGTACAGGCTAACCAGCATTCACGCCCTGCGCCCTGACCGCCGTTCCGCTTCTGCCGCAGTCGCTGACCAAATGACGTTGTGTTTTTTCAGCTTTGTCTTTGCTTTGGCTAATGCTGTTGCCAGGGCTGCTGCAAATGCTATTGTTTTTGCTGTAGTTGCTGGCAGTGTAATTGTTATTGTTTATTGTAAGCTAATCGCTTAATTGTTTTTGTCCCGTCTGATATTCGCAGCAACTGTTTTTCTTGGCTAGCTTTTTTTTGTGTGTGTTCTGATTACAACGATAACAAAACTGTGCTCGCAGCGTCGTCAGCTGCGCAGTCGACGCGTTGGCGTTATGCTGGTATGACATGCAGCTGTTTGCATGCCTACATCGGTTAAGCATTTTCTGTTAATTTCTTTTGTACAATTAAATTTGAATTAATTTCAATTTTAATTTAGGCAGTATTGAAATTAGCTAGTTAAATTATATTGTTTCTGGATCCTATGCACTTCACTTTTAATAATTGTAAGTAAGTGTCATCCAGTTAACAGTGCTGTTACTAAACAGCCGATATATTGCTCTGTTGCTTTTCGATAAATTTAATCGTTGAATCTCCTGGCTGTGGCGCGTGAACTTGAAAGTTTAAGCAAACATTTTTATAATTGTATAACCATTGGAGCCGATAAATTCTTGTATTTACTTTTCCGCTGCATTTAGCTATTTGGAATACTGTATACTTTGAGATTCATAGATTCGTTGCAGCTTTTGAGCACTGTCGCTTCCACATAAAATTGTAAACAATTTACACAGAATTAGCCAATGTTGGTAAACGCGTTTGAATCAGGCGCGTAAATTTCAAAATGTAATGTACAAAATTTTGTTCAATATTTATACTTTTAATACACAGAATTTGTTATTTAAATCGAAAAACTCGTCTTCATCGTTGTCAGTTTTGGCCAACATTTCTTCATTAGGATCTGCTGTCTCCGTTTCAGCTGCCGCTTTGCGTGCCGCTTGACGTTGCTTCTTCAGGCGTTTCTTTTCCACCGCCTTGGCTGCTGCGTGGTCCGCCTCAGACTGCAGTTTCCAGCTCGGCACGAAGGGCGCACACCAATCAAACAGATAGCAATAGAAGTCGAACATGAGACGCGAATCCGCCAGCAGAAAGTGCTCGACGTGGTAACGCACATCGATACGATTGCGCAGCAAATCGTAAAGATTATAGATGAAGGCGCCGCAGTAGAGACGATTCATGCGCGGACTACTTAGGGGTTGATCCAGCAGCGCATTGAGTCCATTCAGCTGGTAGACCACCGACTGGAACTCGGCAAATGAATGCAGTACGGTCGTCGAGTACGAATCGTATTTCTTTTTGAAAATCTCCTGCATGTGAAAATGTGGCAGCAGCTTCTCCTGCACCAAGAAGCAATCAGACTTCGGCACATGCGACATGCGCTCCGGCACAGTCAGCTCGAGCAGGGCGGGCTTAACGCCACGCTTAACCCCCTCGGTTGCCTCCAAGTCGCGCTTCGCACGCTCTTGCTTGAGGATCTTGCCAAAGCGTTGCTGAAACTCCTTGGGATCCCGCTCGGCTGGGATGGTCACGTCCACGGTGCGCACTACAACCAGACAGATGAGCAGCGCATGCAAATGGAGCATATCACAGTGCTCCGATCTGTGCAGCCAGTAGACAATGGCCAGGAAGTAAAGTTGCAAATCCGAGGGCAGCAACTCCAGTTGCTCGAACAATTGCGGCACATTGGCATGTGGCACAAATGCCTCGAAGACGGCGCGTAGATGAATTGCATCCGGATTGGAGGGCTCGAATGGATGAGCAGGTGCTTTCTCAATGGGCTGGCGATAATAGCGTACATTCGTCACGCGCAGCGCACGCGTTAGATACGTATACTCAATGGATACGGGCTGCCCTTGGTCATCCAGTTGGCGCTCCGCCTCAGCGCCCGCCACATGATGCAACAGGGCGAAGGTGTAGTTGAGTATGGGCAGAGCCAAAGCATTCGCATCATGGTAGGGGAAATGCTCGATTTGCGGATTGTTGATGTATTTGCGCAGGTGCAGCAGATCCACAAAGTAGCGAGAGAGATGGGCGGGATAGAGCTTGTCGAGAAACCATTGTGGAAACAGCAGCGTTTTATCTTCTATTGTATCGTCCACATCCCCCTCTTCCTCCTCCTCCTCCTGATCTTCTTCATCATCTTGTTCTTGCTGTAACTCCGTTTCTTGTACATCATCTGGTTGCTGCACCTCCTCTTCCGCTTCCTCCGAACTTTCCTCTGCTAGATTATTTTCATGCTCTGTTTCGCTTAGTGCTTCCTCCTCCTCATCTTCTGGCTCGCTGGCTGGCTCAATGGTCGGAAAGACATCCTCGTAGTGCTTGTCAAAGAAGTCGTAGGCGTGGCAGATTTCATTCGAATAGCCAGATATGGCTGCCTGCACTTGGGATACCAACGAATCGCGTTGTGACTGTATGGTTATAGACGGAGAGTTTGTTAGCTTTAGGATTACATTTAATACTAATCTATAAGTCTAGCCTTAGATCTTCAGTTACGCTTTACATGCAGCAGCTAGTCTCCGCTTTTAAATTCACCTTTTTCAGCCTGGATAACACCTTGGCGAGCGCCGATTCGGCTGTCTGATCGCGCAGCCATTGCAGAATAATGCGAATGCGTCGCTGTTGCTTCTGGAGCTTGCGACTGCGACCCGCTTTGCCCATGCCCACGGCAAAGAAGTTGCTAAACGCCGAGCTGCAAGGGTAAACAAATTGGAATTAGAATGGATTCCGATCAGATAAGAGATCTAAGCTCAAGGACAAACCGTGCTATATAATCATTGCCCAGCAGAGCTGCGAAGAGAGGCAGCTTCTCGGCGCTGAGTGCGCCACGGCCACACAAGTGCTCCACGCGATAGATGCAGCAATCTAAATATTTATAGGTCTTAAAGGATTTCTCCGATTTCGCTGTGGCATTTGTCGTCGTTATTCCGGAGACGATTTTGTGCGCCTTGGTGCGTTTCTCCACGTGCTTGACCTCATTACGGCGCAAACTGCGATCGAGTGGCTTCTCCCTTTTCCGCTTTGTGAGCACCTTCACCGTCAGCGTAATCAATGGAATATACTTGACATTGTGTATATAGAAATCGGAGTCGTAGGAGAGCACGGGGCAGTTGAGTTTGCGAGCGAGTGCGGCCAGTTCGTCATCGGCCTCAAAGACGCAACGCATGACGGGCACGCCACAGTCCCGCACAGCGTCCACGAACACCTCCTTCAGGTGCAGCGGAAAGAGCGTAATCGAATCGCATGGATTTATCTTCTTTATCACGGCAATTTTTCCTCTTAGCCTTTTGCTAACTGTGCGCAATTTGCGCTCCTCATATCCGCCGTCCATTAGAACGTACGCGCGTATATCGCACTCGGCGAGCACATGGAAGAACTGCAGCACAGCTCTATAGAAATCATCGTAATCCCCGCCAAAGGCCGAGTAGCTGCCGGTGACATCTTTGTAGAGATTGCAGGCCAGGTTGTCGCCATCGATGACCAGAGCGGTGTTGTGCAGCTCGTACGGCTTTAGGTAGATCTCGGCGCGCTGCGCGATGTAGCTGGTTAAGCCACGAACACCCATTGTTTATAGTTATTTAAACAAAACAAAGCGCGTGTTGAAAACACATGTTATCACAGTAATATGAAAAATGCTGCCCCTAAATATGAATGTGGCTGCCTGTTGCAGGTCTGTTAAAAATAATACTAAAAATACGTTTCTTTAATATTTACTGTTAAAACGTATCCGCCTGTTGCAGTCTGTTAATAGTACAAGACATGAACCATTTTTTGTGCAGAAATAAAGTTAGCCTTAGCTTAGTAAGGTTTTCGGCATTTTTTGCTTTGATTATGTGCAATATTTTCCCAAGCTTCAAATAGTAACCCAAGCTGGAAGCAACTGACCAATTCGTCCGCGCCCTCACTGTTCAATAGGGATCACTTATGGGCAGCACTTGCGCACTTCTGTTAACGCAAAATGGAACATGTTAACGCATTACCTTGCGCACATTTGTTTTGGTATTTTGCGGTGTGCGGTTTACATTTTAATGTTAGCCACTGACAGCCACACTGCACTCAGACTGTCGCTGTCAAGCAGATAAAACGCTTGTCTTTCGTTCGTAACGTAACGCGTAACGCGAGTGGGTTTTGTGGCACAGTGAAAAAATCCGCAGCAGCAATTAAAAATCGAAATCAAATGCAACACGCAAACGAAAAAAGCGAACTAAAAAAAACCAAATAACAAATAAAATTGTAAATTCATATGAGCGGCACGTTATGTGCAATTGACGTGTAATCTCGAGTGCCTTTCCAAATGCGAGCAGCGCGTGCATATATACGGGTTCCGTTCGTTCCGCAGCGTATCGTATTTAGCTCTTGCTTTTGCCCACTTTACGTTTCGTGTGTGTGTGTTGTTTTTGTATGCTTGTTCAACGTAAAACAGCAGCAGCAGCAGCAGCGACGGCGTCGGCAGCGCTGGCACAGGTAGACAACGTCTAAGACATCATAAAACGATGAAAAATTGAATAAAGCCAGCAAAAAAAAAAAAACAAAATAAATAAAAATTTAATGCTTAATAGCGAAAAGTATAGAATAAGAATTTCGACTGCGAGAAGCGCATTAACAACAACAGCAACAACAACACTCATTTTTTTCGTGTTAATTACTTTTGTGCGTCTTTGCTTTACGGTCGCATTCATTTCATATACTAGTATTATTTTTTTCTTGGATTTTCTTCAACAACAGCAGCCGCAGCCGCAGCCACAGCCACAGTCGCCAGACAAACAGACAAAATTCAACAATAACAACAACATCGGCAGCCGCAGCCACTGCTCTCGCCCCCATGGGTGTGAGCGAGCGCGCAGATCATTTATACGTATCGTAAACGTATCGTGAATGAATATTCTGTCTATGTATGTCTGCAGCGCCGGAGAGCGAAAGAGAAAGAGCGCGCGGTGCGTTGCGTTGCGTACATGTTTCAGTGTGTGTGCGTGCCCGTGTGTGTGTGTTTGTGTGTGGGAGCCAAAGCATTTATAATAAATAAATTGTGTGGCTACTCCCAAAGCAAATAAATAATTATGTTGCATCAAAGAAAAACGGCAAAAGCGTAACAAAAGTGTGAAAAATCGGCAACTCAACACACAAAAATTAAAAAAAAGAAAGAAAAGTAAATAAATAAAAAAGGAAAATACGAGTTTCAAACACTCGCACGACTTAAGAGCATTATCCAAAAGCTCTCAAGTGGTTCACTCTTTCACGCTCCATACGTCATATTCGCGAGTGAGTGTATTCGTACGTGTTTATGGAATTTTGACAATTTCGTGTGTTGTCAGTCGAAAGTTTTTTTTCGTTGTTGTTGTCTTCGATCGTTTTGTCAACGCAACGGGAAGCTGCTGTGTTGGAATACGCGCTCACTGTGTGAGAGAGGCTCTCCCGAAAGCAAAAAAGGTGCGTATTACACTATTACAGTTATTACTTATTTGCTATGGCTCAATTATGTTGCTGGAAGTCAGTTAGTTGGATGGTATTCTAGGAACTAGCTGGAAGCTACGGGGCGTCTACACGCTCACGTTTCCTGTCATTTGCACATTTTCACACGTCCTTGCACCGTCGACAATTGCAATTTTTTTCCTTCCTTCTTTCGACAAGTTGCATTTCCCACGCCTGCCACACAGACACACACGCACACATGACCACTAGTCGAAGCAGGTAGCAAGGGAAAAAATTTCCCGCATTACCAAAATTGAACAAATTTTTGTTGAATGCCACCATAGGTGGGCGAGAGAAATGGAAAAATCAGACACACATACACACACGCACACTCACACACATGTGAAAATGCGCAAAAATTAGCCACCCGCAGCTTCCAGCAGAAAAATATGAATAAGCATATGATAAATAAATAATGATGATGATCATTCCAATGGGACTGAGAATGCTGCAATTTGGCACAATTCGACGCCAGAGGGCGCTGGCGCGGCTGCTGCTGTTTTGCATTAATCAAGCTAAATTGATTTGCCGCTGGCTGCCAAATGGCGTTTTGGCAGCATTATGCAATTTTCTTTTTTGCCATTGTCCAGGCACTTTGGCAAGTGGATTATTGAGCACAAAAGTTCATGGGGTGCAGGCTTCGCCTCCCCACCTCACCTCCATCCCTCGTTTCGACTGGAAGTGGAGTTTAAGTTTTACTGTTGCGACAGCTGCTGTTTGTTTGCTCTCTGATTTTATGCATTTTGCTGCATACAATAAAAAGAGCATAAAATGCTCACACACACACACGCACACATGCTCATGAACGGTGACAGCTGCACAGATCTTGCGCTGTATCTAAGTGTGTGTGTGTATGTGTGGTTGTGTGTGCGTCTCAAATGACACTTGCCGACTGCATTGGAAAGCGGTGTTTGTCGCCGTCTGCACATTTTTCTATAGAATTTCCTAGTAGGAAGTGCAGTAACAACAACAAGAACTAGCAGCGTGGCAGGCAGCACTTGACAATTGTCTTAGGCACAGCACTGTTGTCTCGCTCTCGCACACCTGCCGCCGCCCCTGAAGGCAAGAGAGCAACTATCCTAAGTACATACGTATACGAGTTTGAATGTGTGTGTGTGTGAGTGTGTAGGTGCTGGTTTCTTCCTGGTAGTTAGTGCATGCCCTGTACTTGATCAAAGTTGTAACAGAAGGGGTATATTGGAGTTGGTCAAATATAATATAAAAACGTTTAAAAGTTCACATTTTTGTATAAATATTATATATATCTACATTACAAGAAATTGATACTTGTTCCAGGGTATATGCAGGCATAGCAGTTGTTATGCTTTGTCTATACTCCAGTTATTTTATGCACGCAATTATTCAATTGTCTCTGATTAAATGTGCAAATTTGTCTAATGTTTTTCTGGTTCTTTCGCTGATTACACGGAAGTTGCCGTTTAAAGCTGCAACTAATTTGTCGGCCATTTGTAATTTGTCACCGATCTCGCTATGTCTCCCTCTTCCTCTCCCACTGCCTCTCTACACTTTCTCAATTACTCACTCATCCGCTGTCAGAAAGACGTGAGCTTTTGAACGATTATGTATGTCTTTGTCTGTGTATGCGTTTACAGTTATTGCAACACCGAATAGCTCCCCCTCCGCCTGTCAGCCACGTTTTGACCTACAAGTTGGCTTAATTATATTACCGACGCGCGCATTTCCTGTCCGATTTACTGTTTAGATATGTTTTCGGTATTGAGCAAGGCGGCGCACAGCTAATAATAATAAAGAACCAAAATTAACTCCAAAAAAAAAAGGAAAAAAAAAAAAACAGAAAAGCTTGCAAACATTTTCGAATTTCCACTCGAAAATGCAGCAACAATAAAATTTGAAATTATTTCCTTTCACAAGCTCCACATAGCAGCAGCAAAGCAAAGAACAAAAATAACACCACAAAAAAAAAAAAAGATTTTAAAATAAAACTCGAGAAGCAAAAGCAGCGGCGTCGGCAGCGACTTGTCGGCAACTTTGTTGTTGTAGTTGTTGCTGCGGGTGTAAGCACGTGCAACAACAGAGGCGATAGAACGTAGGAAAAGAAAAAATGAGCAAACTATTAATAAACAATTTGCATTGAACCCGTTCTTGCTGTCCCTCTCGCGCTATGCCTATCTCGCTCTTTCTTTTTGCTCATACTATGCTCTCGCATTTCAAACCGGAACCTAATTGGATTTGTGAATGAAACGCGGCGACCTTGCCCGTTTACGTCGAGCTTACGTTTTGCATTGATCGTCGATCAATTGAAAGCTCAGCCGGAATTCAACATTGATTGATGAGAGACGCTTACGTACTGCGCTCACGTTACGTTATACAGTGGACGCTATTTGATTGGAACGTTTTAGTATAAGATGAGAGGCGTTTTTACTATGAAAATGTAAATTCATGAAAGAACCATCAGGAATTTTGCCTTAAATGAAATGCATTGAAAACGCAGTTATTAATTTTATTTTAATAATTATAATATTTAAGATTTCAACTTTTCGATTGATCACTGTATTTGCTTGCCTTTGCATTGCTCTCCTTGACTCGCTCTCTTTCTCTCTCTCTCTTTCTTTTCTGTCGTATACTTGTGTGTGTGGGTGCGCCTTTGCTTTCAGCTTTGTAATTTCGCAAATGTTTGCCGCTAATAAATCATGTGTCCCTTGTTAGCTGATTGTAAATTGTTCGCCCAATGCGAGTTTGAGTGTTTGTTTTTTTTTTCTATTCTTTTTTTTCGATTTGGCCTCCAGTGTTTTGGCTATTTATGCGGCGTTTAGCTACCGTGCGCTTACGTCATTTGCATGCCGTATACGTAAATGTATTTGTGTGCTTGTGTTCGTATTCATATTCGTACATACTTGGCCATGTTTTACAGTTGTCAATCGGCTGCTGCTGCGTCTGCGGCTGTGGCTGCTGCTGCTCTTGCTGCTGCTGCTGCTGCTCTGTCTACTTTAGTGGGCTAAAACACATTCAGCGCGCGTCAACACAAAATATTGAAAGTAGGTAATGCGACAACAACAACAATAATAATTATATCTGAGTCATCAGTTTTCTGCTTTCAATAAATGCCAAAAGTTTTTAGTACATGACCAAAATATTCATAAATAGTTCAACATAAAAAATATATTGATATGATTTAAGATTGCTTTTGCTTACATATAAGAAAACCATGCTTGGGAAATTTGCCAAAACAGAAACATTAAAGAAAATTATGATTTGAGGGTGTCATACAAGTTTTATTTATTAACATAAATAATACATTTGAAATGTGTTTAGAAATCAGTCTTATTTGTGGGTTAGCTTGCACAAATCATTTAACTGTTTGTCAATGTTAGCTCACACTTTTCTAGCTATAATTTATATTCAAATTTATCTC